CAGGACATTTTCCCATTGATTTTTAGAGAGAGTGGAAGGGAGAGGGAGAGACAGAGAGAAACTCAGATGTGAGAGAGATACATCTATTGGTTGCCTCCCACATGCCCCCTACCAGGGCCAGGAGCCTGCAACTGAGGTACTTGCCCTTGGCCGGAATCAAACCTGGACCCTTCAGTCCACAGGCCAATGCTCTTTCCACTGAGCCAAAATGGCTAGGGCGAAAAACATGTTTTTAACAAAACTAGAGGAAGGTTAAAAAATCAGGTATGGAAATCAAAGAACGATGTTAAGTATTATCAAAAAATAATTTGTAAAAAGTATGAGTTTGAATAAGTTTTTGGAATATGTAACCAATTTATGTAGCTTCTTTTATTTTTTCATGTGTGTTTAAGTGTGATAAATGATGAAAAACTGTGTCTAAATCTAAAAGAGCTTTTTCAATAAAAAGTAAATACTCATAGATAATAAGAAAGCGATAAAAACTCTAAGTAGTCTATTTTCTTTCCTGTAGCACATGATATAATAGTTTCTTACAATAGATGGCATCTTAGAATCTATGAAATACTGTATTTAACTTGCTTAAGCTCAAGGACCATAATATTTTTTATCTTATGCTGAATCATTTCAACCAGTTTAATGTTACATTTTGATTGAGTATATATTATAAAAATTATTATAGTGATAACATTTTATTAGATTAGAAAGTCATATGATTATTTTGGTTTCTTCCTTGGGTGAGTGAGACCTTGAAGAGTCTTTTTATAGATTGTGCATATATCTGAGAAATATATTTTTAAAACTTTTAGAGTATCTGAAGTTTTTTAGACCTCTCTGACCAGGTAATAGTATTTACTTGGTTTAAAAAAATACACTAACCTATTTCTGTTTTAGTGTTTTCACACTTCCTTATGGCGTTTAATGAAAAAAGCTCAAGTAACGAAACCTCCTTCATACTTTAAATTTGCATTTCGTGCTATGGTTCTGGACTTGGATGCACTCGATTCCTCCTTGGAAGAGCCTTCTGTAGGTACTGATTAATTTTAGATAATTATTAGACAAAAAAAAAAAATTCCCAGGCTCACATAGGAGAGATAATTTGAGAGAAGTACACTCAAAGTGTTTGCGGAGTTGTAGAGTTCAAGCTGTCCTCTGGGATGCGCACAGGGTTCCAAGGTTCTTGTGTGTCCCCTACCACACATACATCCAAAACCTCCTTGTTTCATTTGTTCCTGACCTTAAAAGGTATGAAATTCCCTAATATACAGGGTGCCCCCCCAAAAAATGTATACATACTTTAAAAGCTGATAGCTCAGTTTTGAAAATGTATTGTAATGTACACTGCCTTTATTATTATTCAAAGTATGTGTATACATTTTTGGCACACCCTGTATACAATATGATTTGAGGGATTCCGGAAGTTTTTCTGATCCAAGTAATACTCCTTTCCCGCCTCTCCCAATACTCCACTGTATTTCCACCCTTTTAACATTTTCTTTTAATTTTGAGAGAAGCCTCTTGCTACTTTCACAGAAGACTTATTAGTAGTTCACTAAGGTGTCAGTATTTAGTGTTACCTTCTCCAGAACAGTTATTTTCTAAACAAGGATCATGTACAGAGGACAATGTTAAATAAAATAATAAATCTATGGCTGTGGCGCCTTATATGTCAGAGGGTTTTAGTAGTTAAAGACATTGAAAATTAGGGAAGAGGTTAAATATAACTTTCAGTACACCGTTTATTTTTCTCTATACAGCAGAATTCACTGAAGTGAAATATTTCATGCCAGTAAATGACAAAGAGGCAGTAGCAGCAGCAACTAAAATTCAAGCTGTATGGAGAGGGACTTACGTGAGATTGCTTATGAAAGCTAGGACACCAGGTATAATTTTTCAATCACTTATAAAATGAACTTGCCTATATATCAATGAATATCTGTGCATGTATTAATAAAAAATATTTTAGAGTCATGTTACTTTATGAATAGGGTAAATATTTTTATTTCTATAAATATTGAAATTCTTTGAGATCAAGGTACATTGTCAGTACACTCACTCTCTTGCTTCCAGAATTTAGCACAGAGTAAGCACACAACAAATACTTGCTAAAAGAATGAATGAATGAATAAATGAATGAGAGAATGAATGAATGACTCAATGAATAGGTAAATGAAAGAATGAATGAATTGAATGAAGACGCTTCTATGTATGTCCATGGTGACATACACTTAGAAGACATACATTTTAAGTGTATTAGTATATTTATTAAATCAAATATATTTGTGCATACAAAATAAACAATTGTGTGAAAAGGTTTAACAACCTGTTGCAGTAAAACACTGCAGAGGCAAAAAAAATTAATACAATTATTTTCATACTGCAATTTTGTTTACATTTACATAGGAAAAGCCTTACCTCTAGTATAATCCTTCGACTTTATTGAAACATTTTGTTGTAAGAAATGTCTCTTACAACATTAATGAGAATCATCCAAATGTTTGCCTAAGCAGTAAAAACTATACTTGTACAAATATAGAACAACCTAATTAGATTGCTTAGTTTCATGATAGAAAAACATTACTGTTACCTGATTTTTATATTTCTTCTATTAGAAAATAATTATAAATTTGTCAAATAAACTATATGGTAATATATACTCTTTATTGTCCAATTGCTGCAAAATTTACATTTATATGATCATTTTTTCTCTTGATGAAGACAAAATTTGAGCAATTTTAAAGTGTTTTCATAGTATTTGCATGCCTTTCATTCAGCACATACTTATTGAATAACGAGTATTCAGCACTGTTCCAAATTCTGGGCTTATAGGAGTGAGTAAAATTGGCAAGGCTTCTGCTCTGATGAATCTCATGTTCTACTGGTGGTGGGCAAATAGTAGACAACTAAATATATTAGGATATTAATTTCAAATACCGGTAAGTACTTTGAAAAAATCAAGATGAGGTAATTAGAAATATGTCAATCTTTACATCAAATTTGAAGTGTTTACTATAGATTTGCATTTTTCTTTATAAATCATTTACTCTTAAGCCATTTGTGGATTATTCTTTAGGTTGAACTTAGTGGAATCTTATTATCCACTGGGTTTTTTTTGTTTGTTTGTTTTGTTTCTTAGAAAACTTGGATGGATTATTTTTCTGACATGATACTTTTCAAAACAAATTTTTGGTGCGATAAAAAGATCTGATGTGAACTCATTAATGAGTGTTTTATTAGATAAGAGAATATTTTATGATTTTTTAAGCTAAAAATAAAGTGAACGCATAAAATGGTGAGCAATGCTGTCTGCTAGAGGGATATATCTTTATATTTTATACATGATTTTGCTGCTAATAAAGCCTATGACTTTGATACCACCGGACTCATGAGTTTCAACTTCCTTTGTAGAAAGAAGGCTTTGAACAAAATAATATTCCAGGAAACTTACAGCATTTATATTGTTATTTTTAGACACAAAGGAAAATGCCAGTGTTGCAGATATTCTTCAAAAAGTTTGGGTTCCATTGGAAGTTAATATAGATCAGTATGCAGTTTCTCTCTTAAGGTAAAACAATATAATGATATTTCTTTTTTTACTTTAAAAATTTTTAAATTGTAGTTGACATACAATATTATACTAATTTCAGATATTCAGCATAGTGATTAGACATTTATATAATTTATGAAATCATCACCCAGATAAGTCTAGTACCCATTTAACACCATACATAGTTATTACACCATTATTGACTATATTTCCTATGCTGACTTTACATCCCCATGACAATTTTATAACAACCAATTTGTACTTCTTCATGTTTTCCTTTTTCACCCATCCATCCAACCCAATTCTGGCAACCATCAATTTGTTCTCTGTATTTATGGATTTGTTTCTGTTTTGTTTGTTTTTTCTTAATTTGTTGGACCAGAAATTACACCCAATGCCTTACTTTCATATAAATGAAGTGCTAAAAACATGACCTCCCCTATGAGGGTATAAGATGAGTTCACTGTGGAGGTGTATTTGAAACACAGGCATAACTTCTTCAGGGGCTTGGCATTTCTCTCCAAATGACCTGCCCACCATAGCCAAGAGCGTTTATTTCCCAGAAACTCAACAAATATCCAACATAGAGGACATGCTCTTTCAAAAGTTTGAATTCCACACCCATGTCTATTGGACCAAAGAAACTGACAAGCCTGACATTTAAATGCCAGGAGCATCCAAAGATACCTCCTCATTTTAGCAGGCATTAATTGCAGTCAAGAGCACATCTTTTGGTATAAGACCTAATGCCAACTTCAGCTCTGTTAGTTATCAGATGTATGACCTGGGGTAAATTCCTTATTCCCTCTGAACTTATAATTATTTTTTCATCCGTAATATTAGGGATAATATCTAGCTTATTTTACCATTTCATTATATAGTTGTAAAGATAAAGTAACATAGGAAACATATTTAGCACAATGCTGCACATTGAGCTAATACTACTATAGGTTGTATATGTACACTATTATAAATATTGCTATCATTATTACTACTATTTGGGGGACTTGAGGTTCAGGAGCTGAGCCTTTTATTCTTAGACTAGAGGCCCAGTGCACGAAATTCATGCCCAGTAGGGTTAACTGCTCCCCTGCTGGCCTGATTATCGCTAACTGACTCTGCCTCGCCCTGCACCCGGGATCCAGGATTCTTTTTTCTGGTCAGTCGCAGGTACCGGGGACCTGGGTTTTCCTCCCTCTGGCCGGCCGCAGGCACCCAGGATCCCACTTCACCTGGGCTGGCACAGCTGCAGGGGACCATGGGCGGGTGACTTCATCTGGGCCACAGCTACTGGTAGCCAGGACTGCGGGGTGGGTGGCTTGTTCCTCTCCCGGGCCACAGCTGCAGGTGCAGCCACTGGCACCCGAGACTGTGGGGCGGGTGGCTTGTCCCTCTCCTGGGCCGCAGCCTGGCTGGTCCCCATTCCTCTCTCGCTGTGCCAGGCCAGCACAGCTAAGGGTTCATTGAGCCTGAGGTGGAGGCAGCGAAGAATTAAAGAAAAAACGGACAAAGAGAATAAGCTGAGTCTAGGTGGATCTTCCTGTGCCTAGCTGAGGCCACAGAGAGAGACCCAGATGGCAAGCTGAGCCTTTATTTTATAGCCAAAGGTAAACAAGGTAGTGGTCACTATAATTACAATGTTCTTGTGAATTTTACTTGTTTTGGCAGCACTCGCTGCACCTCCCACAGCCCATTAGCTACCCAGAGAAGATCTAGGGAGCATCACAAGGTCAAGTTTAATTATGCTCAGAGGGCTGTGCCTTCTAAATTGGGACTTGTTTGTGGCTCTGCCATAGATCAGTCCATGGCTTAACACTATAGCCACTCTCTACATTTCGCAAGCTCATTTGTGCCTCGCTGGTCCCCATTCCTCTCTCCCCAGTGTTGAGTGTCTGAGCCTTTAAGGTGTGACTGCGTGAGGGTATAATGACCATTTGCATATTAGCTCTTTATTATATAGGATCATAAGGGGCAGAACTTCCCCAAGTCTAATTTGGGCAAGGCTCAGTTTACCAATATGACTTTCGCTCTTTCTTAGAATGCAAAGTTAAAACAAAATCTTTCAAGCCTGTCAGGGATATCTTTCTAGGTCATTCAAGATATTCCACATGGTTCATCAAGATATTCTAATGAACATGGCTGGCCCCATCTTTATTAGGATTCCCGGAGGTATATGAAAAAGGGAAGAATCTGTGACAGGAACAGTGATTATTAGGCCAGCCCCAGGTGATAGGTGGTGGTGTTCTACATTGTCAGACTCCCACATTATAGTTTGCCATTAGGATGATTAGGTTATTTATCATCCAAACTGGGACACTTTTACAGACAGAGGGGACACTGTTTATAATTATGCTAGGACTATGAGCATAACCCAAGCTGCCTCAAGTAAACCAGGATATATGGCCAGTCCTTGTTCTTGTGACTCCTTTAAAAGGCTTAAAACCCTTCCAAGTATAAACCTATCAATTTTCTCTCACCACCAAAGATGTGATCACGTGGACATATAAATACAGTCCCCCATGAGAATCTCCATGGCTTTATAATTAAACAACCTAGAAGCCAAGAACACTGAGAGCTCTGTCCAGACCTCCAGTAGGGGACCATTTTCTGGTATCGGCTTCTATCCCAGCCAATACCAAAGAGATCATATGCAAAATCCTAGATTCCTGGTGCTAGATCCAGATGCTGACAGAGTGGGAAGAATAGGACCCGTAGAATCCCTCACTTCACTTTCATTATGTTCTGAAATATGTCACAGACACTTCAGCCCATAATTTACCAGTTGCACTCACCACTCACTCATGTAATAGAAATCATGTGAAAGGAAAAGCTCTGCACTCTTCCCTTGTTCAAGGTCTTAGTTTTTTAATCTTTATTTTTTCCAAATCCATTCCACACTTTAAACTCCATTCTAGTATCGATTTCTCTATGTCAACTCCAGAATTTTCATGGCTGCCACCAAGCTTTGTTGCTACTGTGCCTAATTCTAGTTTTCCTACCCATATAGCTTAAACTTTGGTACTGATTTTCCACCTATAAACACAATTACTCCCTGGATCATGAATTAGGTTCTTCCTTGACAAAGAACTTCAGATTATGTTGGGCACCTTTGAGTGACATCTTTCATGGTTGACCTGGAATGGTCTGCCCTACCTTGATGCTATGACTGATGAGCCCCACAACTCCCTTTGATCAATAACTGTCATACTTTATGCTAATTTTCACCAATTCCTTATTTTGTAAATAGAATTTATTTTTTTAAGGTTGCTTTTGACATTGGTACTTAAATTGTTTTTATATTTCTAGACTAATGTTTAAAAACAAGTGCAAGTCTATTGAATCTTATCCATGCTATCAAGATGAAGAAACTAAGATTGCTTTTGCTGACTATACTGTAACTTATACAGACCAGCCACCAAATAGTTGGTTTATAGTTTTCAGGTGAGGTTCTCATATATTGGTAAGTGATGTCTCCCTTAAATGGCATCTCTATTCACATGAATAGAGTTTTATTCATGACCGTAGTAAATGTATTAACTTGTAGGTTTCTTTCACAGCTTAGTTAAAATTTCTTCTACGTCTGCTATGGATAAATGAGATAGTACAGAAGTGTTTATTCATGTTTCCTTAAACAAAATATGAAAAAATGTGAAGTTAGTTATTAGAGCATTTTATGAGTATGGTAACCATAATATAATAAATTGATGTGCTTTTAGTATAGAAAGAAATAATTTAATTTCTAAGCAATGGCATATTAGGTAAAAGTCATAAATTACTTACAAAATTGGATTTCTGAAAAAGTTTGCATTGGCATGATAAAATAATATGTTAATCATCATTTTAAAGGAAAGAAATACGTGCACCTTATAGTTATTCAGAACTTTAAACTTATGTGTTTATTTCTTAGTATCAAACCTAATTTCAAACTTTCTTTACAATTCGTATCAAGGGAAAATTCATGCTTTTGTAATTACAGAGAAATATTTTTGTTTCATCAAGACATGATTTTGGTTCCCAAAGTATATACTACAATTCCAGTCTGTATGCTCCATGTTGTTAATAATGACACAATGGAACAAGTGCCAAAGCTATTCCAAAAAGTGGTGCCTTATCTTTATACCAAGAATAAGGTAGGTATAAAATTTATTTTCCCTGTCTGATAGAATGGCATTGAGAAGCTTGCACTTTGTAGAGGTTTCTGGAGGAGGTAGAGTGGAGATGCCTTCAATCTACATAACAGAGGAATAAGATGATGGTCTTGTTCCATAGAAGTCCTATTATTTGACAACAGGATGCACTTAATGTGAGTGCTAGGACATTCACCTCTAAACCCTCTTCTTTCTTCTCTCCAAATTAAATAAGGAGAGAAAAGCAATAGACATTCTCATTATTGAAATCACAAAATCATACAAACCCTTAAAATGAAAATGAAGCTAAAGAGCTCATTTAGTCCTATCCCTAAATCAAATCAGCTGGTTGTCTCAGTTCCCCACTAGGTCTTTATTCTATTTCTAAATATTTCAGATGACTGTGATTACACAGCCACTCAGCACCTGCCACCCTGTATTTTCTAGGGCTACAGTTCCTTCCCAGGAGAGGAGCACTTGACACATTCCTCCTGCGGTGTGAACAACCTGTCATTCACTGAAATCACATGGCCTCTCTATTTATTTGAATCTCATATTTGTGTTTTTGTTCATTTCCTCTGGGGGGAAATCATGACAAAAAATAGTGTATACATGCACTGGTAACCAGGAAATCTACTTTAGCTGTGATCTTTCATTGTTTAGCTGTATGACTATGAACTTCACTTTTCTCTCTGAGCTGTGGTTGTAACTGATTTCTGAGATTAACATCAGTCTATGATTCTATGCATTATTTTGTAGAAATTAAGACATACCTACCTAATGAGTACTGATTTATAGAAAAAATAAAAAAGTTTAATGATTCCATAAGAAAACCGAATAGCTCTTTTGAGTTGTTTTATGGATTTTTAAAAATAAGACCTAGATTTCCTTTTGAATAGAAACATTTATCTAATTTATGATTATTGGAAATAAATAATCACAAAGACTCATATGGAAAAGATGATTTCATTCAAGGGGCAACTCTATCAAGGTCATAATGTCATCAAACTCTAGAAATGAGCTCTTTGTTTTACTAGGAAAGTAAACTTATATTAGTCACTGACAGTTACTTACAGTTGCTAATTTTGGTAGGGACCATTTGAGTTGAACCAAAAACGAATCTGATACTTATTTACAGGTAGCATACTTTGTTTTTTGGATTTGGTTTGCTTTGTGTTTATTAACTCCAGTGAAGATCTCTCTTCTGTGACTAAACATGAATTTGGGGACGTGATGGGGGAGCTCTAAAAGATGCATTTTCAGTCGATATGCAGAAGACCATTTTATTTTCCATCTATAATAATAAAAGCATAATATGCTAATTAGACTTTCCCGATGAAGCCGGGGCTGTGAGGGCCGAGCCCTTTGCACAAATTTCATGCACCAGGCCTCTAGTTTAACTATAATTTTTAATTGCAAATTCAGGATTGCAACAAAAGTAGCTACCCCTTCTCTATCCTCTCATTTTAGCTAATTTGGGGGTGGGAGGATGAGAGAATGGGGAGGAGGATGTCTAATAGCAGCTTCAGTGGTCCCTTTTGTGGCATGGTTTTCCTTTCTTAATGATTCCTGATCTTTGACTATTTCTCCAAATTATCTCTGTTCCTTCCATATTGTGGTTTTCAGACCTGAATGCAGCCTCTAAGGAAAATCTTGACCCACCTAAATGTAAGGAGGATCATTATTCCATTGTTTTGTAGCTCATGATTCCATTAGCATTTGGCACCTGCAAGATATTTTAACATTTGGTCAACATTTTTCAATGTATGTCCACATAACTAGTGTCCCTCAAGATATTCATTTGTTTTATGTAAAACAAAACAAAACAGTATTCTAGATTTAAAAAATAAAACAGGGATAAACATTTGGGATTATTTGTTTTATTTTTTCATAATATTGCAAAAACTGTGATTCAAAATACTCATTTATGAAGTTTTTCATTGTGCAGTAGTCTATTATGTTTCTCATTTTACTCAAGAGTCTTAAAATCATTTAGAATAAGCCAGGTCTTCTCTTATAATCCTATCACTGGTTTAGCTTTAGATTTTCACTTACCGATATCTATCCTATTTTTTATAACTCTTCTTTTACCTATCAAAGTTATTCTCGGAGTCTACCAGTGGTTCTCAACTTTCCTAGTGCCGTGACCCTTTAATACAGTTCCTCAGGTTGTGGTAACCCCCCAACCATAAAATTATTTTCATTGTTACTTCATAACTGTAATTTTGCTACTGTTATAAATCATAATGTTAATATCTGATATGCAGGATGTATTTTCAGGGGTCGCGACCCACAGGTTGAGAACCTCTGGGACCAACAAAAAATAAGAGTCATTTTACTTTGTTTTGCTTCTTTAACACATTAGTACACAAGTTAAAATAATAATGAAAATAGCAGTAAATCTTTGCATTACAATTTGCAGATAAAAATACTTTCATATAGCAGATTTATTTTCCTTTTCTCCTTGCTCTAAACATATCAAAAGGTCTTTATTGGTGTTGCAATTCTCATCTCAGTATGAGTATTTGAATTCTAGTTAATATTCCTGGACATTTATTGCAATGTTATGCATTTATTCTATCTTGTGCATTCCTGATTTTTGTTTCTGGAAATCTAAACACATCAGAGAACTTCCTCTCATCTGATAGCAACTGAAATACAAACCTATCTTTTCTTATTAGAAGTATCTGGAGTTATAAACTAAAAATTACTTGGAGCTCTTGTGTCTCATTATGCTATTGTGCTTCTTTGTGCCTCATTTTCATCTCTTACTTCATTGACTCCTTGGCCAGATATCCAGTTATGTTGAACCCAACTATTATCCACTAGTATGTCATCCCTTTCTCGGGCTCCTTAGCTGCTGCTTATCTCCAGCCTAAAGAGCTCATCTCCAGACTCACATTTCAGTTTCATGGAAGCAGATCTGCTGTAAATTTGACAGCTTTACATCCCAAAGGAACTACATTTCTATAATCTCTTCTGCTTTTCTCATCTTGTACTTAGATGATTCTGAGAAGACAGGGATGTCAAGTGGGAAGCTACTGGGGTACTCCAGGATGATGCAATGATGAAAAGCTGCCTTAGGAACCAATAAAACAATTTATAACTACCATTAATCACTTTATCTTATAGGTAGGGAATCACACAAATCAGTGTTAAGTTATTCATTTTCTCTGAAAACATGTCAGATGGCTCTTTCTAGGAGGGATTTCAAGAAATAATGCTACTGATTTGATGTTTGTCAAAGATCTTGGGATCTTTATGGATATCAAGATGATGAAGTATTTCAGTACTGAAAAGCCACAAATTATACATTGAAGAAACTAGCGACAATGTGACTTCATTCTGTGTAATTCTTTTTTCTTATAGAAAGGATACACATTCGTGGCTGAAGCATACACTGGTGACTCATATGTATCAGCCTCACGATGGAAACTGCGTCTCATTGGTTCTTACAACCCACTCCCAAGCCTCTCTCGAGATTTTCCATGCAGCACCTTTGCCATAAAAGAAATCAGAGACTACTATATACCCAATGATAAGAAAATTGTCTTCAGGTATGAATATAATTCAGTACATGATAGAAGGGGAAATACAGTCTTCTTAAAATATTACTTTTATTACATTTTTACATATTAGTATTATTAAAGATAATAAATTTGGTAGCAAAATTCTGAGTCATTTGGAATTTCAATTTATATACTCTCTCAGAAACAATTAAATTGGAGAGTAATTTGATTATATAAATGGTATACAGGGTATCAAGCCTATGTGGTTGCATATAATGGTAATGATACCAGTTTAGTATCATTTGACTTTTATTAAGCATTCTTCATAACACCCTTTCCTCTTAGTACTTCCTTTTTGTGCTACTGCTTCTTTGACTAGCGGGTTTCTCCTGATCTGCCAACTAACCTTCTTTTCACGTGTATCTATATATTTTCCATGAAAAGCCTCGTCATGGACTCCACTCTCTTTCTCTAATCAGTCCTTTTGATTCCTAATCAGACTTGCCTTTAATCTCCAAGCCCTTCTCTCTATTCTCAATGTTCCTCCAATACTTCAGAGTCTCATTATATTTTGTCTTAGAAATGCTGTTTTCTGGAATTTATAACTCCATTGTATTCCCCGTTTTACTCTCTTTCTCTTCCTAGTCTCTATCAGAAAGTAGAGTGGTTTCTTTTCTAACACATTTAAAAATGTGATTTCCTTTTTTAAAACCTTTGGCATTGACTAAAGAATAAAATCCAAACCGCCTGGTATGATATTTAGCGCTCTTGCGCAGCCTCCAAACACAAGGTGCACTCTCTTGAAAGAAGTTAGCACCCTCTCCGGATATTTATGACCTAGGAGTTTGCTTTGCCCATGCCTTTCCTGTTGTCTTGAAATAGCCTGGATTCATTTTTGTTATTTTTAAAGATCAATCACTTTTAATGATGATTTTCAACAGCGACTTCTCTGTGCTGAAATTTCCAAATACAATTTGTTGGTACTGGTCATTTCCTACAGCCCCCTCTTCTTTCTGAAAATATGATACAAAAGTTGTCATGCTCAGAGGGGAAGAGTTTTAGAGAAGGTTGATTCAAACTTACCAAATCCTCCTGAAAGGTCAACAAACATGAGAGCCAGAAGTTTCTAAAGGGTGGTGGCAAGCTGCTTGAAACTGTCAAGAGCAAGTTTCACACCTGGGTTGGGGCAGATCCCTCCCATGTGAGGATTGGGAGGGGATGAGACGAGGGCGGTGGAGTAGCCAAGTCTCATAGGTGGGGAGCTGGGGAGGAGTGAGAGTCCTTGGATGGCAAGGTTGGCTGAAGATTTTCTGTTTTGTTTTGACCTGTTTCTAAGATGGATGAGACTGCATGTGTACAAAAACCGGTTGTATTCCACAAGGAGGAATAAGGAGGGGCGTTAAGATAAAGGAAAGAGAGGACACTCCGAAAAGCTAATTTTAAGAGAAATTGAAAGTTGATAAGATTCTGAGCATTTGCAAGGATTCCACTATAATAGGTGGGGGGGGGGGGGGGGGGGGGGGC